ATGACTAATGCCGTGGTTAGTAAGAAACTGCGAAAATTGGCGATTTATAAATTCGGTGCCGCCATCAGTGCGTAGAGTTTTAATATGTTGAGATGTATACTTTTCAATATGAGTTTTAAAATTAACAAATGATTGAAAAACTTCGGATTTATGACGAAGCGGAGAAATCCATGTGAATCGAGTATAGTCGTCAACAAATATAACATAATACCTATAACCTTGAACAGAATCTACGGGGGCTGGACCCCATACATCTGAGTGAATCAAGGACAAAATATTATTTTGTCTATTATGCGACTGAGAGAAAACAATCTTATGTCCTTTAGACAGTTTGCAAGAAATGCAAGAAACAGAGTTAAGCAAAATATTCAAACTGGGATTACATTGAGCTATGGTTTTAAGTACTTGGTCATTTGGATGACCTAAGCGATCATGCCAAGGAATTTCCCGGTGGTTCTTGGTAACAAATGCTTGCTGTTGAGGTGATGTCGTGGTCTTGTGTACTGGATAGAGCCCTTTGTCACAGGGTCCTTGAAGAAGCACCTGATGAGTCCTCAAATCCTTAAAATAGAAACCATTTGGATCAAACGTTATAGCAATATTGTTATCTTTGGTAAGTTTAGAAATCGACAATAGATTAAATTTTAGAGAAGGTGTATGAAAAATCTGAGATAAGGTGAGCTTACGGGTGGGAGTCGGTAACAAGCCTGTACCGGCATTGGCGATGTTTACCGATCTCCCGTCACCTACGGTAATTGTGTCTGATCCCTGATAGGAGGATGCAGTGGACATTGCCTCGAGTGAGTTGGTGAGGTGTGATGTAGAGCCTGAGTCCAAATACCAGTTGGCCGAAGGATTGTCTGTATGAGTAACCAGAGCAGTGTTGGTAGCCGGAGTGGGGTTGACGTAGTTAGGATTTAATCGGTGCCAGCATGTAGAAGCCGCATGTCCCTTCTTAGAACAGATTTGACATATGACGTTATAGTTAGGATTCGCCGACGATCTGGTTGTGGTACTCTGGTAAGTGCGGTTGCGGGATCGGCGACCACGACCTCTTGGCGCAAACAACGCCGTTTGCGAATCAGGCAGGGGAGCAGAGCGAGCGTTATCTGCGGCCAAATTAATCTCTTCACTGAGTAGAAGAGGGTATAGCTGATCAAGATTGATCGGAGTAAGCATGGTGCGAATGGCAGTCTTGAATGACTGATAGGAGGATGGAAGACCATTTAAAATATAAAGAATCACGTCTTCATTGTCCACAGAGGAACCGGACGCAGAGATCTGATCAACGAGTGATTTGATTTCAGTCAAATACTGAGTGATCGACTGGTTTTTGAGGGAAATATTGTGAAGGGAATTTTTCAGTTGGATGACTTTTGATCTATTAGAGGATTGAAACCTTGTCTCCAAGGTAGACCAAATGTCGGCAGTGGAAGCAAGATTCACAACATAGGGAAGTATAGATGTGGAAATCGTTGAACAAAGAGCAGCGGCTAAGTTTTGATCCGTGAGTGTCCATTGGTAGGGTTGAGGATTAGAGATCGGATTTACACCGGATTGAGAAGGAACAGTTGAGGAAGATGAAGAATAGGGTTCAAGAAACCTTTCAAACCGATTTGCACGGAAGATTTTGGCAATTTGAGCTCGCCACAGCGGGTAGTTGTCGGATTGGAGCTGAAGATGCACGAGAGTGCGCAGATTCGCAACTACAAACTTCAATGTCGGAGGAATGAGGGAATCGACGAAGCCTTCCCCATCCAGTTGCTCGCCAGGATTAGAGTTCTCCGAACTCATGCTTGGTGCATTTACCAAGCCTCTGATACCATGAAGAAGATGAAGGTACGAAGGAAAAGCAGAGAGAGCAGAAACAAGAAACGTAAAGAGATATTATATTTTCTTAATCAATGATAAGAGTATACAGTAGCTATATATAGTCAGATGTCATAACCGTGGTTCTTGAATACCAATCATAACTTGACACCTAAGCACATAATTATTTAATACAACTGTTTAAGTATTTTGATATTCTAATACTTTCTAGCTTGTTTTGTCATTATGGTGTTTACTCCTCATCCCCAACAATTGATGCGTCAACCATATTAGAAAAATATTGTGCTTTATATATAATTTTTAAAGAATATCAATTTTTACGAGAAACACGGAATTAAAAGAAGAAATCAAATGGCAACAGAAATGTGATGCAATTGATTCAAGTCAGCTTGTGAGCTAATTAAAGCTCGATGGATAAAATGACTCATGAATTGAACTCGACGAAGCTAATGAACCAAGTTCGAGATAGCTCCTACTAACTCTCATGAACTAGCTCATTTAAAAAATCTTAGTATAAAATACGCCTAACATAAATTAGAATTCAAATGTTTTAATTATAAAATTACGATAAAAATTCAAAAAAAAAGTATCACGCTTCTTATCTTATGATTTATTATTATCTCTTATCTAATTTTCATATATTTTATTGATTATTTAAACAAATTTTATTTTCTTTCCTTCAAATAAATGAGTTGGCTTGCGTGGCTAGAGTATTTTGCAAGCAATCACCTCTTTGTAACCCTACTGATTCTGATCACTCCCAGACCCCTCCAACAAAGATCTGCTCCATCATTCAAAGAAGGAAGGTGTTCAGAACCCAGCATCTCAACCTGAAGAAGAAGCCAACACATGGTCAGGTCTCCTTCAGATGAGTAAAAGGATCCCTAATGAATTACTAATTACTGAGATTTGTTTGAAATTTATATCATTAAAAGAAGGGAGTGCTTTTGGGTAAAAAGAGAGGAAAAGAGAAGCAGAGAAGCAGAAAGTGAGAAACAGCTGCAGTAACAAAGAGAGTACAGTGGCTCTTTAGAGTCTTTACCACCCACTTGCTATCCCTTTCACAACCAACAGACACATTCTTCTAATCTCTTTCTTATTACTTTATAGTTTTTTAAAATTGTTCAAAACCTCTTTGTTTATGAGTTTCAGTAAAGGTAGCAGAGACAGTGGCAGGAAAGGTAACAGAGTTCAGCAGGTTGCTTCTCAGTGCAAGAGAGAGAGAGAGAGAGGGAAAAGAGAAAACAGTAAAAGAGAGAGTGAGAGTGTGGTTTGTATTTCCTTGCTGTGTTAGCTGAGCAATGCAGGCCAGAGTTGCCTGTCGCTGCTGCTACTGCTGCTTCTGTCAGTAATAATAATAAGCGGTGCAGGGTCACCTGCCCCCAGGTGGCAGCATCTGCTGCGGAGGCTGACAACCCCATGAGCGCTTCTCAAATCGATTTTTTTTTAAGAGAAAGTTTAAGTTATCTACTCTTGGTACGAAATAAAATTTTAGGATTATGCCTAAGATAACTCGGAAAATTATTAGGTGCGAAGTGCGCATCGTCTGTACAAATATTGAATATCTAGCGGTACCTAACATTCGAGTGTAGGTACCATTAGGTACCCAATACTTATGTGAACGGTTCTTCATGTCCGCACTCCGCACCTAATAATCTCTCAGAGAACTGAGAGGGAGACATAAAAGAGCTTAAAAACTCGGTCATCTCTTTGGCTAATGCGTTTAAGGGATATTTGGCTGCTTGAAAAGAAATATATCTAATTAAGAAAAATTTATAGTATTTATAATATTTGCTTGAGTATAAAATAGATATAGATGATTTTTTTTTTATTTAGTTTGAAGTAAAATAAATATAAGTAATTGTTAATGGTGATATAACTAAGGCTATAAATGAACCATCTGTTCAACAAACTACTTGTAGTCCGGCTCAATTACAACTAGTTTATTATCGTTTGCTTGAGTAATCAATTAAGTTTGAACAATTTTTAAAATACTCGGCTAATAAATAAATAAATTATGTGTTCTACTCATTTACATTCATGAATAATAGCAATTCAAAGCTAGATATAAAACTTGTTAAGAGCTCGAATAAATCTTATTTTATATATTTTTCATATAGTTTTTAGTTTAATTATAATAAATTATTCTTATATTATTTCTTTAGAATGAATTTGTGCATGAGCAAGAGATATTTATTCATGTTTGTTGAATTGTTTGTTTGAAGTGTTTTAAAATAAAATTTTTTATAAGAAGAACCATTTTTTGATCATTTTCTGAGCTTGTTTATTTGTGAATTGGCTAACCTGGTAGCTCAAAAACACTCGCTAATAAGTTCTAAAACTCGATTGCTACTTATTCTAGTCATTTAACATTTAGTATAGTTTAGATTCTTTGTTCATTCCAGTTAAAATACTAATTCTATTCATTTACTTATTTCTACATATTTCATTAGAATATATTTAGTAATTAATTTTCTAAAAGTCCTCATCAAATGGAGAAATTATTCTGTGCGGAAACCGGACGTAGAACGCCATTTAGAGACCAACCAGAAATGCTCCACGTTAGCAGTACCGAGCCGCGGTACCGAGTAAGAGGTGACGTGGCACATTCTGGCTAGTCTCGGATGACGTTCAACATTCGCAGAGAATAATTAATCCATCAATCATCAAATTAACCTGTCTTGGAGCCACATTAACAATTTTGCTTAATCTTTTAAATTTTATACAAATGCCAACTTAATATCCTAAGATTAAATTTAACAATCTTTCCTTATAATCAAATTTTATGTATTGTGTATGTCAAATAATCATCCTTAATCTTCCTTAATATGTTAATACAACTCAAATATTATAATTAACATAATTAAGATTATAGTACAAGTCTTGAAATCATCAAAATTTTAAGTATTATGAACAAAAATATGAAAGCTTATAATTCTTAAATATATAATATAAAATTGATATGAAATATATATATTTATGTGACTTGCTTGGATTCTTTTATGACGCTTGCAATCCTATGCACTGGTCTCTCCACACTAGCAATAGCATAATAGTAGGCTTCCTGTGATTTATCCATGCAACAACACAGAAGATTCTGCAGTCTCCTCTCTGCCCTTCTTGACTGAATGACCCATCCTATATCTCTTTTAAAAAATATATCACCTTTACTTATTTGTTTAATCGTGCCATTATATCACTAAAGCGAGCAAGTAGAAATTTGTTTGCTTCAGTAGCAGGATTCTGCTATAAGGTTTCTCTTCCTCTTGCCCACTCTTCTTCTTCTTCTTACCTGTAACTCGTGCAAGAAAAGATGATGAGTGGGAGAAGCAGTTCAAGGTACCCCTTCACTGCTTCCCAATGGCAGGAGTTGGAACACCAAGCTCTCATCTTCAAGTACATGGCTTCAGGCATTCCCATCCCTCATGATCTTATCGTTCCTATAAGAAGAAGCTTCCTTCTTGACTCCACTTCAACCTCACCTTCCCTTGCTTTCCCTCCCCACACGCAATGTAAGCTCTCCATTTTCAAAATCTCTCTTTTTTCCGCTTTCTACAAAGTGTTTTACACTCACTTTCATGCTTTCAGTGGGGTGGAGCTGCTTTCAAATGGGATATGGGAGGAAAACAGAGGATCCAGAGCCAGGGAGATGCAGGAGAACAGATGGAAAGAAATGGAGATGCTCAAAGGAGGCTTACCCAGATTCCAAGTACTGTGAGAGGCACATGCATAGAGGAAAGAACCGTTCAAGAAAGCCTGTGGAAATCTCTCTTGCTACTAAAACAAACCATTCCTCTTCCACTTCTTCTGCACAAATGTCTCCTTACTCAGCAAATCTCTCAATCTCCACTCCAGAGATTTGCCACCATTTGTGCCCTTACCCAAGCTCTTCAGTAACATCTCCTTTTCAGTTAGATTCGGCAAACTATTCTGATAGGGAATACAGGTGTGTTTCTGATGTTCGTTTCGTTCACATCATCATCATTATTATAATTTTTATGTTCTCTTTAATCGAGTATTTCAATGAGAGAGAAGGCAGGGAGCAGAGATCAGGCGGAGTTCATCGGAGTTCAAACCTCAGTGGATGAGCTCCATGGCAAAAGCCAAGCAGAGCAACTACACTCTGTCTAAAGAGGAGGAGGAGGAGAGGCAGAGGCCTCTTCGCCATTTCTTTGACGAGTGCCCAGAGAGGAACAAGGAGCAGTGGATGGACATGGAAGACGAGAGCAGCTCATACACCAAGACTCAGCTCTCCATCTCCTTCCCAAAATGGTTTGAGAATCCCCATACCAACCAATATCAATATCACTGTAAAAATAAGTTCTCTTATTGTATTATTTTTGCTCTTTCGTTATTCTTTGCAGATAGAGATGACATGGCGAATGGGAGAAGAAGAAAAAGCTCCAATGGTTGCTGCTTGCTGGGATGATTTTCACTGTCCATTCACTGTTTTGAGTTCAGTTATTTGTTTGTTTTTTTGCCATGTTTATTCTTCAGTTTCAGAGAGGAGGAGAGAGCTGCCTTTTTGAACTTTTTTAGGAGTATATTTTTCCTCTGCAAATGTGTGGTTTTTGTTTGCTTTCTCTTGTCTCTGCTCAACTCTGTGCAGTCCTAAGTTGTATGTTCTCTCTGTGTGACTAAAATCTGCTGCAAATCTCCTCCAATGGGACCAACTCTCTGCTGTGAATGCTTTTGTTCTTCAAGATCACAATATCAATTATTTGATTCCAAGCTTAAGACTGTAACTATTACCAGCCTTTATTAATTTTTAAAAAGGATTTTGTACCTGAAATAAAAAGGTTCTGAAAGTTTTTTTGCAGTTGCTTAGAAAACATAATCTTTATTTACCAAAATTTTATGATTATATTATTCATACAGTGATATATCTATAAATATATGTGCATTTATCCTTCAATTTTATAAACTTATTCACAAAAAATTTATTTGGGACAATTTTTTACTACTTCTTAAAACAGTTTTTTAGTACAAAATTTTTAAAGCAGTCTCAAATGAAGCCTAAATGGGATTGAGCCAGCCTATAAATAAACATTGTTGACTGGATTGAATGGCATCTGAGCTATGTATATCTCATTTTGCCTGATATCTTCATTTATGACTTATATGATATGAAGTGAGCTAATATTTTTAGAAATCTTCACCTTTGTGAGCTTCCTCTAAAAAGGAAGCTAACTCCATTTTGCCTTTAAGCAGCATAAACTAAAGAGATATTATATAATATTGAAACTTTGTGTATATACTCACCTTCATTAGTATATCTATAGATTACCTACAGTCTCAACCTTCCATAGTAGAATTCCCCATTCTTTTAATATTTTTATAATAAACTTATTTGAACATCAATATGCTTGATACTAACATAAAAGAGTTGGATCTTTGATATATAAATAATACTTTGAGTATTATCAAAAAATTTCATGGTCTTGGCTAACTCCAATATCTTTGATAAAATTATATATCAAAATAGTTTTTTTGAATGCTTTTTTATTATCATAATATATTTTACATCTAAGTGACAAAATAATTATTGACTATAAAATTGATCTCAAACTTACTAGTCCTTAACATAGTAAACAGATCGATTACCCAGACTAGCCTAATAAGACTCAACATATATGTTGACATTAAAATTTCTTCAAGTTAATCGCCTACTTCTAGTATATGTGCAACGTCTCAAAATTAAAATTGGAATAATTATTTCTTTAATTTATCTTTCAAATTTCAACATCAGAGCTATATACTTTCATAATAATAATAGTAGAAACCAAAACTAATAATCACAATTTGAAAATACAACTGTATTCATTACTCCAAAAAATCATATACATTACTTAGGAATTACTAGTACAATCGCAACATATCGCTCTACTTCAAAGTACAAAATAATAGCTTTATGATAGAAAGAAATAAACTAATAGTAAAGTTGGTGAATTCTAATTTGATCAATATCACACACCTAGTCCTCTGCTCTAACCTGAAATCAGTTAAATCATATATAATGAGCTCAATGGTCCAACAAGTCTCTAAATCCTACAATTGAATTCAAAGTACGATAAAGAAACAATATGCATGTTATAAGTGAAATCAAAGTAGTGACATTCATTGATCAAAAATCAGTACATAAACAACAAAACTCACGTATAGAAGTAGTAAAGTCAATAGACAGTAAAACAATATAGTATGGAAGCCAGTAAACCAGTACAGTGAAGGAAGTCAATAAATCAAAGAAACAATGTGTCGAATATATAAATCCGTTGAAGTCATTTTAATGTAGTAAACCCAAACACATACTATATTAGTATCATAATCATGTCCAATATATAGCATCTCACAGTCAATGATAGTAAGCAATAAACAGTAAATAATATCGAAGGATCAATAATAGTAGCTATAGTAACAAATCAGTATCAATCTTGATGATGACAATAATAATAGAGTAGTACAGTAACAATAACATTAATCAATGGTAGTAACAGTACTAAGTTCGTACAGTGATAGGAATCAATATAGTAAAAGTAAAGTCGTATAGTAATAATGAATCAATAGTCGGTAAAATTAATAATATGCCTATATTAATAATATACCAGCTATTACCCAATCATACATCCATTTTCATTCTTAATTCCTATATAAATAATATGCTTAAATAAAAACACTCAATTATTTATTCAATCCAAATTGTATAAAATACAAAAAATTCTATTTTACTCGATGAAATTCAGAAATTAATTAGTCAAAATGCCTATAATGCTCTATACTATAACATACAAAAAGTTGCATGATAGAAACTTGTTAAAATGGAGGAAAATGCAATAAAATCAATTCTGGGGAGAATCAAATAGTCGAACTAAAAAAATTAGAAAACAGAAGTTAGGAATAAGTCACCTACTTCAATTGAAATAATTTCGTAAAAGCGGGGAAGTGATCTAGCGGGTAAAATCAAAATTTTCTCCCTTTCCCTCTCCTCTTTTATGTTCACTCTCTTCCATTTCCTTCTCATGTAATTAGCCAGTCATGAGTGAGGGGGAGGACGAGTGAGTGGATATATACATATATATATATATATATAACATATTTAAATATACTGCATGATCCTCTCTAAGATTGTAACCTAGGTGGCTTAGCCCAAAGTCGTTTTAGGCTAGCTCAAGATCAATTTTAGATTGATCATGAACTCTCTAGCCTTATATGTAGAATTTAGAAATCTCAATTTAATTGTGGTGATTTTCCAAATATTGGTACGTCCCCTAGGAAAAACCCTAATCCAATTTATTCATAATTAGCCTTAATTGAGCCCAATTACTGGTTAAATTTTCATATTGTACTATCCTCAATCATATTTGAAGTGATCTTGTTGACCATTACTCAATTTTAAAATAATGTTAGGATTGACCAAAAATAAATCTTGCCCCGAAAACTCCTTGACCACTAAACTTAATTGATTATTTTGGAACAATTTATCTAATTTATTTGACAATTTTATTCCAAAATATTTCTATCATTAGACCATAGAAAAATTAATATAAAGTGTACGTCCATAGAATATAAGAACAAACTTAAATCCTTACCAATCACATTTAGGCCGAAGTGAACTACTAAGACTAAAATATAGAAATTTATGAAATCGACCTTGAACATTGATCTCAATAATGTTATACACAACCTATTTAAGCAATATTAATCCCTAGATTATCCTAATTAAGCCTTTAATTAAAAGCAAGCCCAGGTTAAACTTGATTCAAAAATATCTAAGCCTTTAAATTAGTGAAATTGATTGAACCTAGACCTTCCATTAAATTTTGGTAGGTCAAATATTGGTCGACATGCGCCTCTAATTATATTAAAATATATTCATAAATATTAAGGATATTTTAAAATTTATTTAACATTTACAATAATTATTACCTAAGTAGTAAGAAATTATAAAAAATCTCAAATAACTTAGAAAATTTTGTAAAATATTCAATGATAAATATAATCTTTGACTTCTGATTTTAGAAAGTCTAAAATGGATTAACAAATATATATTTTTTTTTATTAAAAATGTGCATTTTATGTTGGCTTGGGCCAACCAGACCCGATACCTACCCAAATTAATTGTTCTTCTCCCAAACCCTCTCATTAATAAAATCAAATATGACGAGCCAGAAGAGGAGCAATGCTTGCTAGGGTTGGGTTGAGTTTACTCTATCTTGACTTGAACCTCTCCTTAAACCAAAGGCCCCCAGGGTTGTCTAGAGTTTGAATCTATGCATACATGAACAATTATACTCGGTGTAGTCGATTCACATTCACAACATGGAGATGAGTCAAACTAAGGCTTCGTTTGAGACAGCTTTCTTATTGCTTCTTAAAGCAACTTTTCAATATAAAAATTAAAAATTTTATACTGAAAAGCTACTTTAAAAACCAGTAAAAAAAGTCATCCCAAACGAAGTCTAAAACTAGCTAGGAAAATCCATGACTTGCATTTTTAACTTTATGCTATTTCCATTTTTTATTTTATTTTTTTTTTTATTTTTTTATGCTATTTCCATTTGATGGATCATGAAAAAAATATTTTAACACAATAGTACTAATGCACATAAATATATTTTTGTTCATTTTTTTCATTCAATTAGCTCTGCAAACATTCATAAACTTTTATTTTGGTTCTACAATCTTCATTAGTCCCCCTTCCTGGCTTCCTTAGTCTCTCCAAACCAAGGGCAATTCATAGTTTAGCCATTGTTAAGCTAGACTGATCAACTAACATTTGGCTCCAGCATGCAGGTTTAATGCATGGGATTTTCTTCGAAAAAATAAAGGTAACCTTTGCTTGTACCTGTACAAATGTACACTGTACACACGTGTACGTGCACCAGGCGCACTTGAATTTCACTTGATGCGCCCACGTGATCTGCTGTACTAAGGTGAAAGCGCCAGCTTATTGAAAGAACTACCAGGCTTCCTATATTTGGATTAAAATTTATACTATCAACTAAATGATTTTAAATTCGAATTTTTTATATATGAGTTAAGATTAGGGATCTCGAAATGGTTGGTGAGTCAGGTTAGGGTCGAATTCAGATGGATCCGAGTTTAAATGAGTTGATCTTAACCCGATCCGGTTTTACAAACGGGTCAGAAAATTCAATCTGAACCCGACCTGCGTGGGTTGCCAGGTTGATCCGACACGACCCGCGGACCCATTAATTTTTGAATTTCGGCAGCAAGGGTCATATATGCTCAGTTCTAAAATTTGAATTTAGGTTGCAGCATAAAATTTTAATTACAGTTATTATGTAACTTGTCAGTTTCGAATTCCAAAAGCTATAGAAAATTTGGACCGCTATTTAGTTCACATATCTCAAGTTATTGCTTACTATTTAGCCACTAAAATTTCATTTGGGATAACTTTCTTACTGTTTTCTAAAGCAGTTTTCTATTATAAAAATTTCTAACTCAAGATATTTGAACTATAAAATTACTTTAGAAGTCAATAAGAAAACTAAGATTTCTTTTTAAATAGTTTTTTTTTCTACAGAAATTTTTTAATAAAATTTGTTGAAAGTAATGAAAAAATAATAATCAAAAGCTGTCCCAAATAAAGCCTAAACGATTTACTTCTATGGTTGATATGTTGGGCCGCCGGACGAGCTCCCGCGCTCG